TAGATCACAGTCGTTTGGGAGTTGGCCACCCCTGATTTAGGGGAAGCCGTGATTGCTTAAAGTGGTGTCCCAGCACCTTAAGATGACAGCCACACACACCCTTCTTTTCTGAGCCTGCCTTGTTAGCTGCAATTGTTCAAGAATAATTTCCCCATGGTAAAACCATTGGGATAAGCCTGACTAAGCCATGAGAAAACCTCTGAGATAAGCCTTAATAGGACTATGATCCTAAGCATATTTACTTAGTGATTGGCTACAGTGAAAACAAGTGGAATTTGGAAATAAAAGTGCCATCCTCTAGTCAAAAGTAAGTCCCATTGACTTCAGTGGGATGGGCTCTCAGGCAAGCATTTGTGTGTAGGATTGTAGACTCAGTTGGGAGTAAGTTCTATTGAACTCCAAGGCACAGTTAATGTGTTTAGGAATGGAGCGTCAGTGCCTTCAATCGGTTTCTTTGTCCTCCTTTCTCTCACCACACCAAGGTCAATGTTTGGTCTTTGGGGCATTTGCAAATTAAAGGAACAAACAAGAAATTACAGAGAAAAGATATTACAAAGACTGGAGGCTGGGCTGCTGAAAGGGACCCACCCCCAATGGCTCCTGTGACATAATAACAACCACATGACCCACAGAAAATCAGTAGGTGAAGTGTTCTCCATTCTGCCATCAGCATCCCTTGACAAGCTGGACCTGGTGAATTTCTGCCTTCCATGCAGCTGCCAAAGAGGTTCAGGAGCTTCACTTGGGGGAAATGGGTGTGTGCATGTGACTTATGTAAGAATTCTTTGCCCTTGTTGTTGTCGTTTATTTACCCACCCTTCACTCTAAGGTCCTAGGTGTAATAATGCTGTCTTGGCACAGACAGAAGAAATATTGCCAGTCCCAAAGAACTGCGTCTTAGTCATAAAAGCACAGAGCAGGTCCAGCACGATGTGTTATTTTGTCAGGGGAAATGCTGGAGTCCAGTGGGAGAGTGAGCCATCCTGATCTGGTGCCTCCTAAGCAGTGGTGGCATCTGACCAGGACTTTGGGGGCAGATTTCCAGAGCCCAGCAGAATGACCTGGAGCCCCTCACAAATGCAGCAGGGCTGGCTCACCCCCTTTCGAAGTTGGTGAAGTAATACCAATTGCCATCTAAAGGGCCACTACAGGACCTTTAAGTCCAGAGTCCCAAATTTAAGTCCAGAGTCCCGTCCCTAAGTGGCGTGAGAGTACTGGGGCAAACCCTGTGCCTGGCAACCTTCTCAGAAATGCCTTTGTACTAGAGGTTGACGTCAACGAGGCATGACGCGCCCGTTGCCTGTGGCTGAGCCAGCTAGGCAGGTTGGTGGCCCGCTTAAAGTTTCCACGAAGCTGTTAGCTGCTGTGAATGAGCAGCTCACCCACCTGGAAGCACCAGCAACCATCCTGCAATTAGAAAAGGGGAGAAGGAGAGATCTGCCCAGCTCATTACAATCTCTGCGCAGTAATCCCTCCTCGATACACACCTGCAAGGCAGGGCTGTGTACAGAAAGGAGGAGGCCCACTGAACTGAATGGTTTTTTTGCGAGAGATGCTGAAGTTTTTTTTTGGGGGGGGGGGACGAGCAGGGTTGTTCCAAAATGAAAAACCCACATTGACTAGCATGTGTGTTCCTTTGCTTTCCAGTTTCTCGCTTCTGCTGAAGACATCGGCATGTAAGGCAGTACGCCTCTACTGCAGTTTGTGTAAACTCCCTCAGGTCTTGCCTCCAGTAACAGAAGGGGGCAGTGGCAGAGCAGAGGACAGCGCAGTGCTCTCCCAACGCTGGTATTTCTGCGCTGACATCATAATAACAGGCTTGCTCAATCAGAACAAAGGTCCATGCAAACCAGCGTCCTGTTCCCAACAGTGGGAAGCCTCTGGGAAGCCCAGGAGCGCCCCGGTACCCTGTATCCAGGGGGCATCTTGGGCTCTAGATCACAAAAGCCTATGCCACAATAAATCTGCCTGTCTTTAAGGTGCCGCAAGACTCTCTTGTTTGCCACCAAGCAAAAGCTTAAAACGCAGTCACTTTTTTTTCTCTTCTCGGATCAAAGCTGGTTTGGGAGAAAGTGGCATAATGGTCAGAGCTTTGGACAGGGACCTGGGAGAGCAGGGTTCGAATCCCCACTCAGCCATGAAGCACGCTAGGTGACCTCAGGCCAGTCACCATCTCTTAGCCTAACTTACCTCACAGGGTTGCTGTGAGGATGAAATGAAATGGGGAGGAGGAGAACCATGTACACCACCTCAAGGTCCTTGGAAGAAAAAGGGGGTATATAAATGTAATAAAGAAATATATATTTTATAAGAAATGACAGGTTGTGGCTAATGTTGTTTGTATGCCGGTTCTCAAATCGGTAGGAAAGCACTGGATGCAAAGATACCTCTCTGTATTTTGCCTCTAAATCAGAGAATTTCTACGTATCTCAAAGTCTTCCTCTATGGAGCTCTACCCTTTCTTTCTTTCTTTCTTTCTTTCTTTCTTTCTTTCTTTCTTTCTTTTTGTATTAGTTTCAGAGGAGAAAGCCCATACTATGTCTTTAGTAAGCAGCCTTAATAATGAATTCTACGTTTGTTTATTTGTGAGTAAGTCATTTTGACTTCAGTGGCACTTGCTTCTGCGTAAACATGGACAGGATTGGGGGTCGTGTGCCACCCAAAACAATGGAATGGGGTGAATATAAGCTAACTTCAGTTGCCTTGCAGTGCAAACCTACCCAGGTTTGCTCACAAGTAAGCTCCGCTAAGTTCAAAGGGGTCTGTCGCCAGGTAGGTGGAAATAGGATGACAGCCTTCCTAGTGACTTAACTTTGAAAGGGTTGCAGTTGGTTTCTTGTAGGCAGCCAACAAAGAAATCCCATGGCACCTTCAGGAGAGATTTGTTGTGATGGAAGCTTTCGTGGACTAAAGTCCACTGAAGCAAATGCATGAATTGTTGCTTTGATGATGTTGCAGCATCAAAAGCCCTAGCCAAATCCTGGCCTCAGCCCTGAAGGGGGTCACAGAGAGGAGTGTGGAGTCCGCCGGCCATATGAAAACGTTTTCTGTTTCTGACCCACGGATGACACTTGCTTCACCTTCACCCAATGGAGCAGCAGGTGGCAACTGCCCCCATCAGACTCATTTATATGGGCCTATTCTTGGCAGGGGAGGGAGAAGCAGGCTGGTTTATCTGCTTTGATGAGCAAACAAACACTAGTGATATGAAAAGGGAGAAAAACAGCGTCCTGGGTGAAACTGGCACAAGCTTTGCCAGGTCTCTGGTAATAATTAAACTGTCAGCCCAGATTTCCCGTCAAGGTAGGCTGGCAGAGTCCCAGGTGGCACATATTATGCAAATTTCCTCGGGCGGGAGCTGAGTACCTGTTCTAGGAATTCCCCTAGAGGTGGAGATCAGGTTACTGAAGAACGCCCTATAAAAGGGACAGCGATGGGGAGGGGCTGAGCCATACAGGGAGTGGAGTCACAAATACCTGGGCACAGGTGAGCGGGAGCTGAAGCGTCCAGCACTCTGCCTTAGGAGCTTACTACTGTGTGGATTGATTAACTGCTGTCAGAGTTACCTGCCTGGTAGGTAAAATGGGGGTGTGTGTGAAAGGGGGAGAGGATGGATATGGAGTTGCTGCGCCTGATCTGTGTTGAGCTCAGTTCTCCTTAAGGATGCTGCTGTGGTGTACTTTCTTAGCTGATCAAGCTGCTGCCAATAAAAGAAGCAGCCCCTACCGCCAAGTTACTGATGGAGACTAAAAAATAGGATGCCCGTCACCTTCATGCTCTGCTTATGAGCTTCCAAACACACCTGACCGACCATCACTGGAAACAGAATGTGGACCAGATGGATTTCTTGGTCAGGACCAGCCAAGGAATTATTATGCTTTTTGAAGCCTTGGAAAAGCGAAAAACGTTTGCCTCCAGTGCCGGTCCATTGGGCAGTTTGTAGTTCTCTGGCAAAAGAAAAGGAAAAACATGCTGAGTCTGGGCTGGCTTGCTCTCACCGGTTTTCTGCTGTAATTTACTAGTTGCATACCTCCAACTTTGCTGTGCGGCTCGCAGAACTGATGGGATTCCCTATCCTGCTCAGAGGACTTACAATCTATGGCCATGATGAGGAGGGGAGGGAGAGACATTAGGGATTGGCAGGGATGAGTGATAAATGGATGAGCATGTAAGGTGAGGCTCTCATGATTCAGAACAGGCTGTTTTCACAGAGCCAACAGAGCTTTCTCTCCAATAGCCTGGAGCATCGCGTGGGGGCTGGTGAAGGGCAGAGGGGCTTCTTGGACACACAACGCAATAGCAGGAGCTGGGAGCTTTAGAAGTAGCCTGAGAGTCAACATTGACTTTATGGCTCCAGCCTGAGACTGGAAAGAGAAGGCAAAAAACAAATTTAAAAAATGGGCTTCTTGGAGGTGTTTGTGAGTCCCAGAGCTGATTAAAGGTTGATGGGCAGGGGACCGTTGTGAAAGTAATAAGCATGAAATCTCTGTTTCTTGTCTCTTTGTCTGTTGCTGTATCGGCCAAGTTTGGGGGAGATGTAATTTCCCTGCCAAAGCAAAGTTGTTGGGACTGTTCCTTTTTACTTCAAGCCAAAAACTTAACAGTGGGCAGTGGGAAAATGATATTTAAAAGTAAATAAATAAAATGAACGATAAAATGAACTAGAAGCGTACCTTGATTTGTTGTGGGAATTCTTCCGCTGCGGTCCATGGACCTACACAATAAATGCTATTCTGTTGTGGGAATTCCTTGGTTAGAAATCAGTGGCTTTGTACTTTGGGATCCTGGCTCAGATATTCATGAATCTTGGACAGATCCCAATCACAAGGGGCTTGAAGGACAGGTTGAGAATATGAAGGAGCAGCAGTATGCTGGGAACTAGGTGTACTGGAGGGGTGGAGGGAAAGGCTGTGTTTGATCAAAGCAAGCTCATGGGGGAATGGGGCTGGTGGAGCCGGCTGGATCCATTCCCAAGTCTAACAACTCCAATCTTCTGGCAGAAAATCCCATGGCAGGATCCTGTGAAATCAGCAATCTCATCTCAAACTACTTCAGCGCCATGTACCAGCCAGAAGAAGCACCACCCGACCCAGACCTACTGACCCACCTTGGAGATGATGATAACCTTTCTCTCACTTTGTCTAACACCCAGATGGCCACAGAGACAACAGGTAGGTGTCCACAGCTTATTGCTGCAAGATGCGGGTACAAAATATATCTAGGGAACAATGGAGACATCAGGAATAACTTTCTGACAGTAAGAGCTTCTTTGACAGTGGAGCAATCTCCCACAAGAGGTGGTGGACTCTCCTTCCTTGGAGGTTTTTAAGCAGATGTTGGATGACCACCTGTCATGTGTGCTGTAGTTGAGATCCCAGCATTGCAAGGGGTTGGACTAGATGACCCTTGGAGTCCTTTCCAGTTCTACAGTTCTGTGATCTCTGAGAGCTGTGCTTCCTACAGCAGCAGGACAAGTATTGTCTATCAGCAAGCCTACTGGAGTAGAGGTTGGAGACTCCTTCCAGTGTGATCTCACCCCCACATATAGGTTGGACCCCTGATATTCTATGGGGCGATGGGGGTGCCCCCATAAGATGTCTCCAGTATTAGTTAAACTTAAAGTAGATTCATTGAAATTAACAGGTATGACTAACCTAGGTCCATTCATTTCAGTGGGTTTACTCCCAGTAAAACATAGTTGGACAAAACCCCAACTCCCATCAACCCTGGCCATTGGCCATGCTGGCTGGGGCTGATGGGAATTGTAGTCCAACAACACTTGGAGGACATCATGTTGTCTACTCCTGCCCTTCACCAATGCTGGGTGGATGCACATGGCAGTGGGGGCTCTGTGGCCCTCCTGCTGTTGCTGGACTCCCATCATCCCTGGCCATTGGGCATACTGGCTGAAACTGATAAGAGCTGGAGTCCCAACAGCATCTGGGGGGGGTATCAGGGTCCTTACCTCTGATTTACATGAAGTGCTTTGAGCAATTGAACTGTGCCATATAACACTGATAACACTGCCACTCACCTTATTTAAAGATTAGACCCTGCAGAAGATAAGAGGCTGAGTTAAATCCTTGTAGAGAAGTAGAGCTGAGTAGTTTTATACAAGGTGCATTACGTGAAACTCGGGGGACTGTGAAAAGCTACAAAGGGTGGCCATTTTGCAAGGGAATGGCCGCTGGGGCATAAAATAGCTCTGCATGCATTGCTGTTCTTGGCTACATACAGTACGATATTCTAATGAAGTTGTGGCTGCTTGAGCTGGGAGCGGAGAACTGGTGTCCTAAATGACCTCACCCCAGTGGGGAGGGGCCTGCCCAGAGATAAGGGAACAGGTGACAGGTGTGCATGTTAACCCAACCACAGTGACTAAGCGAGATAACCGCTGTGCGTAAGTGAACTGGCCACACCCTGTGCTGCTCAGCCAGCAAGAGTGTTCCAGAGGCTGACTTGGCCGAGCAGAATCCCATGTGGCGCCTGCCGTACTGAGCCCCTTCTCTCCTTCCCTCCCCACCTCTCTGCAGGCAAGCCGACATGGTATGGCGAGATGCCACACTGCTGGAGCAGGGCTCAAGTGCTGGAGTGGATCAGCTACCACGTGGAGAAAAACAAGTACGATGCCAGTGCCATTGACTTCTCCTGCTGCAATATGGATGGCTACACACTTTGCCAATACACGCGGGACCAGCTGGGACTCATCTTCGGGCCCCTTGGAGATGAGCTCTATGACCGCCTGCACGAAATCAGTAAGTGCAGGGTGCCCTTCCTTTGATGCAGAAGGACTTGAGGGAATTGCATTTGGGCCCCAAGGCTAGAACCATATCAGCTCACAGTGGTTGGCTCAAGAGGAGAGGCTTTCAGAAAAACAGGCGCTGGTGCAAAGTCACGATGCACAGCAAAAGGGTTGCAATCTCGTGTTACTGGCCCCACGCTTGGGCCTTTTCACACCAGCCACACCATGTTTACAAATGGCAAGCTTTTGCAATGGCTTTATCCTCATGCCAGGAAAATCTCTGCTTGCTAAGTTACTGTGTGTCCAGCTGTTTCTCAAACCGAAAGAGCAGGACCTGTGAAAAAGAGTGGCAGCTCTATCTAGGCAGCATCCCATGACCCAATGGTCCCTCTTGAACAGGAGGGGCACTCCCATATTTCTGGTCCCAGTCGTCTGTAAAGCAGTGCCACCATTTAGCCCCCAATACCAAGGGCTGAGAATCTTTTAGCTTGTTCCTGAATCAAGGAAGAAAGCAGGGGCAGTACAGAGTAGCGCTTGGTCTTGTTATTCACAAAGAATGTACTTTTCTCCCTCACTTTGTAGCATCTGTCCCGGATGAACTTGGCTGGATCATGTCTGTGCTAAGGAGCGAAGATGTCTCTCAAGAGGCCCTTCTGGACTCCAGCCCCATTAGGTGAGGGGAAAAATGTATTTGCTTGCTCTGCTTTGTGGTTAATTGCCTATGGTCTCTCTCCCTGTGTGTGTGTGTGTGTGTGTGTGTGTGTGTGTGTGTACACATTTAACCCTCAACTTCTCCCTTTATTTGTTCCTAGAACTGGGGAAATTCCTACAATCAGGATTACCTGGAAGAGATGAAGTTAGCAAACATCTTCTCCCAGTCCGACCTTGGCTACATCTCTGGGGCCATGTCACCAGACAGCTCAGCTTCTCTAGCAGGTATGGATCCTCCCTCCCCCAATTCTGTCTTGGCACCTGTAACAAACTACAGCTCCCATAATTCTTTGTGGGAAGCCAGGGCTGCTCAAAGTGGTATTATAGTATTTTATTGTATTTTTGGTTTTTATGGAAGCCGCCCAGAGTGGCTGGGGAGGCCCAGCCAGATGGGCGGGGTATAAATAATAAATTATTATTATTATTATTTAAATGGAATGGCATGAAAGTGGCCTAATATTTTCTCAGATTCCAATGGGTGCCCATTGAGGGTACTTGCTGAATCGCACAATTACAGTTGGAACATTGGTGGCTTCAGGGCTCTTAGACAAAGCTGACCTTCCATTCTTCTCCTTTCTCAGGGACAATGTCTCAGAGCCCTCAGTCTCAGGACTCCGGTGGAAGTGACCTAGATCTCGACCCCATAGACATGAAGCACTGCCACTTTTCTGATGGTAAGATATAGAGGAGATTATCAATGGGAAGTCTGGATTTTAGGAAAGTACAAGTTTGTTTGTGTTTGTGCACACATTTGCCTTAGTATCTTCACCAACACAGCAGCTTGCATTGTCAAAGGCAAACTAGTTAGATGGAAGACAAAGATTACTGACTCACCATAAACAACAGTGGAGAGATGTAGGGCACAGTTCGTGTTGAAAGGGGAAATGAGAGTGTGTAGCATACTGAGCTTGGCAAGGATAGTATTGGGGTTTTTTTTAAAAAAAAATCCTGACTCTGCAAAAGAAGGGACAAATTTGGAGATTAATCAGAGTAGATCTGACACAGCTTAACTGCAAAAAAAATGTATTTATCTGAAGCATTTATACATTGCCGTTCAGCCAAAAAGGCCCCCAAAGTGGCTTTTTAATGCTAAAGCCGGGTAAACTGAAATCAATCACTACAACAGAACTGGGATATAAACACTTCTGTAGGCAGAAATGGTTAGAGCCCAGTTTTGAACTGCAGGTTTGTATCATCCGAGAGAGAGCTGATTTTATCCATTGTTAGAAATTCTGGCTCTCAAGTGCTACACCCCCTTTTAAGGTGGGTGCTGAAAGATCCCAGTTTAAGGATTGTGGTCTTTCAATCTAGAAGAAGCTTAGTGGTAGAACATCTGCTTTGCAGGAAGAAGGTTCCAGGTCCGTCCCTGGCTATCTAGGTAGAGCTTGGAAAAATGTCCTGTCTGAATATCTGGAGAGCTGGTGCCAGGCAGTGTAGATACTGAGCCAGATGGACTAACGCACTGACTCAATATAAGGCAGTTTCCTGTGTTCCTGTTTAATCTCACTTCAGGCCCTCTGGGGTATAAGGCTAAGCATGTCCTCCTCCTCCCCTTTTCTACAGGTGACTACACAGAATATAAGAAAGAAGATCTCAAGAAGCGGAAAAGGGGACGGCCCAGGAAGGTCAGCAAGGACAGCAGAGACTGCCTGGAGACCAAGAAAAGCAAACACTGTAAGTGAATCTCTCACACGTGGGCAGGGACAGTTCAGGGATATTTTGCTATTGCATGCAATCCAAGTGTTTTGCCTCCAACACCTTCTGCATCACCACGCACCTAATCCATTAGAACAGTCAGAGGGGCTGCTTGCAAACCAATGCCCTTTATTCCTCCTGAGTAGGGACAGGGGTCATACAGCTTATCAACTTCATGCATACTGAAATGTCCCCCTTCATAACAGTTCCTCAGATGCAGGGCTGAGGGACTCCAGCTCTGCTATTGACCAAATATTCTACCTCCTTGGGAGGTGTGCAGCCTTCTCAAAGGGACAGCCAAGTTTCTGGTGCCATGACGTTGCCACGGAAACTGATTTATGCCCTGGTTTGGCATTCAGTTGGCCTCAAAGGCTAGGGACTGTTCTGTTCCTCCAGATAGTTTGAATAATATGACCTCCCTGCTCTCTTTTTTCATGACCAGCTCCAAGAGGGATCCACCTATGGGAATTCATCCGGGACATCCTAATTCACCCAGAGATGAATGAGGGGTTGTTGAAGTGGGAAGACCGACGTGAAGGCATCTTCAAGTTCCTGCGCTCTGAGGCGGTGGCTCAGCTCTGGGGGCAAAAGAAAAAGAACAGCAGCATGACCTATGAGAAGCTGAGCAGAGCCATGAGGTATGTACTTGTGCATTTCAGTCTGGAGTGGAGAACCTGAAGCTTTTCTGATATGGTTGCCAGCTCTCAACAGCCCCAGCCAGCATGGCCAATGGACAAGGGCTGATGGGAGATGGGCCTATCCTTGATTTGTGGATATTTTAAAACCACCCTTCAGTCCTCCTCCTCCTCCTCATCCCATGGCAGTTTTTCATGGAAATACAAAAACAATTAAAATCAAATTAAAACAGATAGCGGGGCTGAAACGATGTCTAAAGAGGTCTGGAGGAATACTATGATCTCTGGCTGACATTGAAAGGACAGCAAAGAAGGTAGCACTATAGTCTCCAGAAGCAATTCTGGTGTTGAGGAAAATCAGAGCTAGAGAGATCAAGGGGAGCAAATGGACACAGGGCTAGCAAGGGGTGGAAACCTGAGCAAATGCAGTTGCCGGAGGCCGGCCTTGGCCAGCCTGATGACCTCCAGATGTTTTGGACTACAACTCTCATCAATTCCATCACTGGCTGCAGAAAGGTTCCTTGGTAGCGGGAAACAAGTTTAACCCCAAACTGCTTCACACAAAGTGGGCTCTGAGAATGGGTTTGAAGAAGAGAGAAGTGGGACCATGAAGAAGATTTGGGAGGGAGCCCCAGGCACTACGGGGCAGGGAGCACAAGAGAACACAAAAAGAGTGTTTTGATTTGGATGACAGAAACCTTGCGTCTAACTCCTCACTCTGCTCCAAAGCTTTGTTGGTCAGCTATGAATAAGTCACAACCTCCTATGTCACTGGGCTGTGATGGGAGTCAGCTTGGAGCTCTGTGTTCAAGGCAATCTCATATTTGATTGTGTACTACGTTATTCCACCCTTCTTGTAGCAACTACTGTACCATAATACGTTCCTAGTCCTCTTTGTTTCTCCTAGGACTGCTTTTTTATTTTTACTTTTTAAAAAAATGTAGCCCTAACACTGTCCTTCCTTCCTTCCCTCAGGTATTACTACAAGCGGGAGATCCTCGAACGAGTGGATGGCCGGCGACTGGTGTACAAATTTGGGAAGAACTCCAGTGGGTGGAAGGAGGAAGAGGTTCAAGACAGGAGCTAAGAGCTGCAAGAGCCACACACGGACTTGGACATGGCCCATCCTTGCTCAGAGGAGCATCTCTGAGCACAGTATGCACTGACGTGGGCTCTGAGCCCCTTAAACTGCTATCTCCAGCAGTGTGTGTTAGACTCCAGCCCTTCTATGGGGCAAAGTGTGTGTTCTGGCTCCTAGCTGGGAGCTCAGGTAATTACAGCTGATATTTTGGCTCAAGTAGGTTATTGTGAACCATTATTACTTTGTTGCAATTGGACTCTGGCTGACATCTTGGCTCTGGATAGGATTACAACGCCTTTGGCTGTCTGCTGCACCGCACAGAGCTCATCAAGGCAGAAGGGACTGGGTGTTCTCGGCAGTTTGCTTTGTCCCAGGAGGCCATTCACAGGACACTCAACGGTCTGCTGATTCACAGAGAATGCCATGGCCAACTGTGCATAGGGAAGGAAGATTTGCCACTGGTGCCTTCAGAATATGGGAATGCTGATACCCAGTTTGGAGTAGTAATTGGAAGTGAAGCTTCCCACCCAGATGCAGACTAGTTGGTGGCTAATGTTCCTGTTTAACAGGCAGAACTTAGCTGGTCAGTCTTTGAATGTAGGACTCCAATAATTATGGATTTCACATTGCTTTGGAAGGCAGAGTTCAGGAGCCTCTTCATTGGCTCTTCCCCAGTCAAAACATTATTGGGGGGGGTCTTCTTCCCAGAAAGCACAGCAGCCTTCCCTATGAATTGCATCTTTTCACTCTTAATTTATGTGATATATGTAAGTGTGTTTATATAATGTACATAGATATCTATTTTTTTCATAACTAAAGTTGTGTGATTGTATCAGGAAGCACTGGGCATTTTCAGAACCGATGATTGTTGTTGCTAATATTCAGCTGGGCTGAACAAAAAAGGAAATCTTTTATTTTGAAATCAAAGTGTTTGTAGGGTGTTGTACTCGCTCAGTGACTCCAGGAGAGCCCTGCGTGATGTACAGGCCTCCTGCTTTTTAATAATAATTAACCAATAAATCATTGTTTGTTGGTTTTTAATCTCTGTGTGCTGCATATTGACAAATATTCTTAAGGGAAGAGAATAGATGCTCATCAGGCTTGGATAGAGAGGGATACCCTTTTCTTCTATCCAGCATGTGTCTCTCATGTTCACATCATAGAAACATGTCCCTCATTGAAAGACGTTCCCAGCTCTCTGATCAGAGATGGGGAAGCCTGGAGCCCTCTAGATGTTTCTGGACTAAAATCCCCACCATTCCTGACCTTTGGCCATGCTGGCTGGGGCTAATGGAAGTTGAAGTCTCACAACATCTGGCAGGCCACAGTTTTCCCATCCATTTTCAAGAGGTGCAAGAGAATGTTAACCTTAATTCATTCCTAACCTACTTTGTTCAGTAAGGAAATAATACACATGAAAAGTCCTGTTAATCAGACCGAAGGACCATAAATTCCAGCAGTAAGACATGAAGGCAACAGATGTCCTTCCTTTGCTACCACAACCCACAGTTGCTCTCTGGTCTCTAGAAAACACAGCACAAGAGTGAGCACTCAAAGATCCTTTTATGTAAGGTAAATCACTGAATGGAGGGAGACATAGGTCAATTATATTGCACATACATTGCACACTGAAAATCCCTGTTGCAATAATATTCCTCTCTCAAAAGCTGTTCAATCTACCATATTTTGGCTGTTGGGTAGAGGAAGGTTCTGTCTGCTTTATCATCTCTTCTCTCCTTGGAAGTTTGTGCCATCCTCTAGGCTTCCACTGCCACACACACATTTGTGCTCTTTGAACACCCAAATTCTCTGAGAGAGGTTAGAGGGACTGAGCTTCCCATGTCTAAACAAACAGCAGTTTTCTATTTGCCTCATCAGTCTTCAAAGTTCTCTACACAGATGTTATTTACACCACACACACACACACACACACACACCGTCCCGATATGCAAATACCACCTCAGAAACTGCACAATACCATTTCCACTGCTAAGCATTCAGAAAACATCCCTCGTGACTCAGAAACACACAACCACCCAATTTATTTTATGACTCAGGCGCACACAATTGCCACTATTTGTGTTTTAGGGACTTAAGATATGAAGAGTCATAATTCCAGTTTCATGGGTTTCTCCAGACAAACAACTGTAGGGCCCATTTTGTTCATAATCGAGGGAAGAGGTAAAGAGTTGAATCAATGAGGCATGAATAGATACTACTCAGTTTACCCCCCCCCCCATGAGTAAGTAGCCTTGTCAATCCAGCCATTAATTCAAAACACTTAAGGCTTCCTTTGTAATGTAAAGGTTGGGGGGGAGGGAACCCTTCTCCCACTCCCCACTCCAAATAGGGGTGGTGCAAAAACTCTCAAACTTGCCAAAACAGTGTTTAAACTAGAGCACATGTTTGAAGCAGGGAGAGAGGGTGTCTTGGTGTGAGAGTGTCAACATGCTAGCACCAAGCAATTTTTTAATAAAATTACATCAGCAAAACAAACATTAACACCCAATATGAACTTTTAAATCCAATGACAAATGAAACTTTCTGAGTTATTTGCCTAGTGCCAATTGAAACTTTCTGAGTTATTGCTATAGCAGCTACTTTTCATACTCTGTTTAGCTGTGGCTGAAGGAGGATTTAAGACTCTGGTCAGCAACTAGCTGAACTTACTGGACAATAGCTTTGATAAATGAGTGGGCTGAAACCCCTGTTCTGCCTCACCAAGTGGGTGATTGGGGAATATGTGGGAATATGTGATTCAACTATAAATGGTCATGGCTTCCCCCAAATAATTATGGGAGCTGTAGTGTGTTAAGGGTACAGTGAGTTGTTAGGGAGACTCCTATTCCCCTCACAAAGCTACAATTACTTGAGTTTCCTGTGAAGAGGGAATGATTTTTAAACCAGACTGGAAACTGCACCTCTGGGACGGAAATAGGAATCTCCTCACAACTCTCAGCATCCTTAACAAACCACATCTCCCATAATTCTTGGGGGATTGTTTAAATTGATATCATAGCACTTTAAATGTATGGTATGGATGTGGCCCTAGTTTCATTGCTTCAGCTGCCTCTCCTTCCAAACTTCTCTTTTTTCTTGATTAATCAACTGAAGGAATCAGGCATCACTCTTCAAAGGGACAGATTTGGCACAGGAGGCCTGTTGCTGACTTTAATCTGATTTCAGAGAATGGGTTTGGGAAATACCAACACAGTGCATTAAAATTCGACTGTATCGCTTTGCCAGGGGATAGTTGCCAATCACCTGAAAACACGTAACCAGGTTTTCCAGTCAATGATGGAGATTTTGTTTCCCATCCTTCCTCCAAGAAGCTCAAGGTGGATTACAAGGTCCAGAGTCCACAGACACACCCTTTGTTATCCTTTTATGACTCCGAGAGATAGGTTGAGCCGAGAGAGAGAAAGAAAGAGAGAGTAACTGGCCCAAGGTCATCCAGAGAGCTTCAAGGCTCAGCAATGATCTTAACTGGGCTATTTCTACACTCAGTCCAGTTCTCTGCCCACTGGACTAAACAGACATTTTCACCAGGTAAATCAATCCCATATACATGTTACAGAGGTACCAACTATGGTTTAAAAGGTAGATCCTTTTATTTTCTTAGCAGAAAACTGTTTTCAGGCTTCCCAGAGGCAGGAGGCTGGGCACCATAGCTTTTGGCCTGACCCAGTTCTTGTGTACGGTACTAAATTATAATAATGTTTGATATTTCCCAACATCCAAATCTTTTCGCCAGAAGTAAGCATCTGCCCTCCCCCAATATTTATGTTTGAAATCACATCTTAAATGACACTCCTCGCCAGCAAAGTTCAAGGCCAAAGCTTATATGACAAATGGGAGGTTTGGGGTTTAAGCTTGCCTGGAAATCAACTCTTTGGACCTGGAAGCTCTGTTGCCAACTCTGAACATGCTCAAAAACACTCTCCTTTAGCCAGCGGGCAAATGCAGGAAAAATAAAAGTCCTGGTTAATCCATAGTCTGTGTCACTGTCAGTTGCCAAGGTGGGAGGGGGAAGACAGCGGGGAGCCTCGCATGGTTCAGGCACAGCAGTGGGAGCCGCCGATTGACTCTGCCACTGTGTCTGCTCCAGGTTGATGTCTCTGCCACCTTGTCCCTCTCCCTGTTGATAAACAGCAGCAACACCTGCCATTGGGAAGCCAGGTGAGCAGCACCGCTTTGGCCACACCGCCAGCCATGGACATTTTGAACAGCAGCTTGGCTACACGTCTCGTCTTCACTATCTCGTTTACAAAAAAGTAACCAGACATAGCAGTGGTGAGGTGATGCTCTGAAGGAGGGAAGCAACAAATCTACTACATGGCACAAAACCTGGAAGAACAAACGTATATGGTATACCACACCCAATCAAAACGCAGCCCATATTAACATCACAGTTATGTCGTGCACACGTCATAGTTGTGACAAAGACAAATGTGCTCAGAATATTTCTAGACTATTTTCATGTGAGATTCAATCCCATATAGGCAAATTGGGTTGATTCAGAGGCATTAAGCAACAAATACACTCTTTCTTTCTTTCTTTCTTTCTTTCTTTCTTTCTTTCTTTCTTTCTTTCTTTCTTTCTTTTTTGAATGCTCCCAGGCTTTGGAGTTCTCATTTTACTTCTCCCTCAGGTGCCCAGCATTGTATTATTTATTTGGTGCTCCCCATATCCCTGTCTAGTATCTTCCCTAACTAGTATCTTCAGGGTTAAACAGAGAAAGGGGGGGAATTATGGGTAATGGAGGAGCATGTGACCTTTTATATGTTGTTGGACTGCAACTCCTTGGCTCTGCTAGCTGGGGTTTGTGGGAGCTGGAGCCCAACAACATCTGGAGGGCCACAGGTTTCCCCCTCCCTGCTCAATAATGTCTGCATGACTTTAGGGTTTCCCATTTGTCTGCACTTAAAAGTGGGTTACGTATATAGGCATTACGGTCATCACAGATGAGCTGTGACTAGGGCTGCCTATGGATTTGGAGCCAACATACGTCAAAGGCTGCCTCCTCCCATATGTCTCATCTTAAATTCTATAGCTGACTGACTAGCACATCACTATCTATGGTGATCTAGTCCGGGGAACAAAGGAACAACAGGGCAGCCTAATGATGGATGTTCCACAGTTAGAGCATTCCTCCCCCTTGAAAACCTGCCAAAAGTCAAGTGTGAACATTGTGTAGCAGTGCCAGCCCTACCATTAGGCAAAATGAGGCAGCCAGGAAGCAGATACTCATTCAAACCCCACAACAACCATGTGAGGTAGGCTAGGTTGAGAGGCAGTGACTCGCCCATAGGGACTTCATAGCTGATTGGGGATTTGAAGCCTGGTCTCCCAGGTCCTAGTCCAACCCTCTAACCACTACACCACCCTAGCTTGAGTTCAACCTGCCTGCAGAAAGCAAGGCACTCAGTTGCTGGTCGATTAGTCCTCTGCTATTAAAAAGTGAAAATCTGAATCAACTGTTGTTTGAACATCTTGGTACCTGTTCCAAAGACCTCACAACAGGGTGTGCTTATACCTTTAAATAAACAGCCTAAAGCTTCAGGCACTGGTTTCTTTGGAACAGGCAGCATCCTTGCCCTCTGTGCCACTTGAGCTGGGATAGGTTGGAAGCGAGGGAGAAGGAAGCATAGTTGCAGCATGAAGTAATGACGCTCAGGCGAGAACAGGTTGAGGGGGGGAGAGAAGGGCACAGTTGGGGTGGGTGAGGTATTTATTTTCAGTCAATAGGTAACGCGGTAGGATTGGCAGGCGGGCAAGAGAAGCTTGTCACGCATCCTGCACTCTGGCAAGCTCGTCATGTTTG